GTTGAGGGGAAAGTTTTACTCTCATGAGAAAAACCGCAAGAAATGAGTTGTTTGTGACCATAGTGAAGGGCGTCCCATGCAGATAATGGCGCTAGTGCCAAGTGACATAAACTACGAGAACCTCACATTTGTCAAAGTGTAACCTATATCAGCGGGCAATAATTGACGGGAATAATAGGCAATCAGACTCTCTACAACACGGGCCTTGACTATTGCAGGCATTAGTGGAGAAGAAGTGTCAGCGTGTGGGGAAGGAGAATTTGGGAAACGAGGATGAGATGAACCAGGTGTGGTACACAGCTTGAGGGACAACTGCATTGCTGCCATGTATTTTCACCAGAACAGTGGTATGACCCTTGCTTGCCAACCACAATCCTACCTGTCTGGATTCAAACCCTGGCAGGTACAACTGAAATCAAGATCCAGTGAGGTCGGTGCTTGGCCTTGGCTTCGGCAACACGCAGGTACCATAATCCTGTCATGGTACTGCTGGGGTTCCGGTGAAACTGATTTTTTTTTTCACATCAAGATCCGTTAGGTGCGCTTGCAGTGATCGGTGGCTTGCCGCGGATGACAAAATCAACCTCATTATGGCGATTGGCAAATCAAGTGGCTGGGCACTCAGGTACATGGTGGCGAGGTCGGTGGGGGGCCACCCGGGAGAGCAATGATGACGTCGACGTTTTTGTTGTCTCCATTGTCTCTCTCGTCGCCGTCGCCGTGGTCCTTCGTGTCGCGGGTTACGATGGGGGTGGGGGGTGCAGGGAAGTTACTTGCTGCAATACTGGTGTAATTGGAACTGCCTGGGTGGCGGATCTCCTACCGTGGAGATTGAGAAGGAGCAAGGAGGTGCAGATGGAGATAGAGCAAGACAACACATCAACACCAACTGACTCACACTGGACCGTACTACATAACAGTGTAGAATGAATCCGAAAACAGATTGCCCAGCTAACTGACTGGACTAGACTGCCCAAACAGGACTGACGGTGGTACCTGCAAATGAATCTACGCCTGTGAGATTAGGCCGATGAATCTGGTCCCACAGGCCGAAAAGGCTCTAGGCCAAATAGCTCTGTCTACAGGCCAGGGTAAATAAAGTCGTGCATAGATCCGGTTCTCATATTTACACCGCCTTGTAGTTCTGCACTGACTGCCATTGGCAAGAGTTTATCGTCAAGCTCTACAAGCAACTATGAATAGAGTAGCTAAAACAGTACAATGCTCTTGGCATTATCGTTCATAGCCTTCCATATATCCACTTACCAAGATTTAAATAGTATGACAATTCTTAATCCTCCGTTGTTGCTTGGGAACCGGTTTGATGAGACAGTACAAACCTTGTATTCCCTTATGTTCTCACCTCTTTTTTTTTTTTTGGGGGGGGGGGGGGGGGGGAAAAAACTCCAATCTATTCGTGTTGTGAATTGGGGCCAGCATCCTTTTTCAGTAAAATTAAGAATATGTAACATTTCCCAGCTTCGGATGAGAAAATAATCAGTCGATTAAGAACAGCTACAGTTCTTAAGAAAAACTTCCTATGATCTACTCAACCACAGTCCAAACCTGGAAACAGAAGATCCTAACTGAAACCTCTTACTGTGTACACCTCCCCTTCAACAAGCAAAAAAACGTTAAGTCCAAACGTTTAGTCCTCGTACCAGAAATTCAGTTGATCTCATACCCCCTATGCGGGTTACAAAGCAACACAAACCTCCCCAGTACCGACTAGTCTGGTTCAGATGGCAAAGAGTGCCTTCCTCCCTCGACACTCCGGACTAGCCGCACGCCCCTAAGTTACAGGGGAAAAAATCCGACATCGACTACGTCGGACAACCTGGTTATGCCTTCCTCCCTCGACATAATTCCCCAGACCTCTTGCTCCCCCAGGTCACAGAGCAAAAACTCCAGCACCGGCCTGCGTCGTCCCACTATTGTCCTTCTGACCTACTTACTTAGACAGATGTCCCTTCCCATGTTGAACCCCCCTTGCTTCCTCCCATCTTCCAGTTCTAACCTTCTCCTTCCCCCCCTGACATTTTATCCACGATCTCCCTAATCATAGACAAATCTCCGCATTGTCACTCTGTGAGATACCAGGACAATTACAAAAAACAAGAAGTCATCTACCTATGGACGGACCTAAAACCAGAAAGACAGAGGGTCAAAACTGAACCCGCCAACTATCCAAAACCTCCCCCCTTCAACAGACGAATCGTCGGTCCAGGCTTTCAGTCCTCGTACCAGAACTCACCTGCTCTCTTACCCCCCCTGTGCTAGGGTGACAGGGCAACACAACCTTCCCCAGTACCGACCAACCTAGCTGCAAGCCCCTGACAGGTTACAAGGTAAATACCTCGGCGCCAGCTACGTCGGACAATGTGGTTACGGCTTCCACCCTCGACAAAACTCCACAGGCCTCGAGCTCCCCCAAGTCACAAAGTAGAAACTCCAGCACCGCCCTGTGTCGTCCCAGCATCGTCCTTCTAAACCTAATTACCTGAACAAACAACCCCTTCCCTGTTGCAAAATCCCTTACTACCTCCCATCCTCCAGTTCTGACTCCCCCCTTGAATTCACAACGTACTCGTTTTGAATCGAAATTTAAAAATGAATTTTAGCCAATTGGGTGAGGTCCATCCCCTGTTGACCCTGCTCCAGCTGGACTTACCACGCCTCAGCACTGCTATATCCTTTTTCCATCCGGCTGGCTAGCCCCCTCACCAACTAGGTGGATTACATCCACCCAATAAAACCTCCCCCACCCTGTTGTGAATTCTAGCGTTAATAATCAGATGTCAGCACTCAAGAATCAACATGTAAGCCCTCAAAAGGGTTCGCAAATCAAGATCAGACAATCAAAGATTGAATCGAGACACACTGTGACTAGAATTTCAAAATCAAGATTCCCTACCTCATGAATTCAAGCATCGAAACAACATTAGAAAATAAAACGAGATTTAGTTAAGATTTGAAAATTACTTTTAAGACATCAGAGGTGCCCAACCTCTGATATACGAATCTCAGGCTAAGAGTACTGCCCAGAAAGTAATTCAGCAACAAAACATACGACCGTCGACAAGACTAGTGATGTGGAATTGGAAAAAAATAAGCAAACAAATTAGGTCAGAATTAATCTTGATTTTCAGACCTACGTTAAGAATCTCATCAGGATCTACAAGAGCTTTGACCTAATCCTTATGTACTATGGTCTCTGAATCATCACTTCACAATGTGAAGAGGAAGAACACAAACTTGCCCTCGACAATCCCTAAACGCACCCCCCCTCTCTCCAAACCTTACCTCGTCCTTCATCAGCTCTCAAGCAACTCGGCCGCCTGTGGTTGACAACTGTTCAAGCATCCCAAAGGACCGAATGATGAAGATAACAGGACCGCAGATAGGATTACCATCACAGCAACCCAACCCACGTCACGAGACTAAACCGCCGAGCCTGCCAGCCGCCCCTCGCAGGTAGCCCAAAGAGATGAAGGGGTGTCATCGTCGCAGACGTTGCCGTCTATAGATGTCTTCAGCATCCTTACTTTCGCGTTCCACCTCCCATTCCTTCTTGTAATACTCTCCCTCTAGCCCCTGAAACCCTGCCTGCCTCCCCTTAACCCCCCACGCGGCATCCTTCCTCTCCAGCGGGACCATGATATGAGACACGCTGCCCCCGTGTTCTTCCTCTCAAACAAGTAAGCACGTGACAAGAACAGCGAACAGGGAAGCCTTCAGCAATGCCCGACCACCACCACTAGCCTGCTCCTCCGTGCCCAACAATCCCTCTCACGCCTCATCATCCACCTGCTGTCCTCTCGCCCGGGACTCTCGTCCTCGCGTCGAAGCTGCTGTCATGGCACCCCAACTGCTCTTCGTTTCCCACCCTCACCAAGGAGCCCGCCGTCGCGTCAAAACATTGGCGGCGGAGCGCTCCCGGTAGAAGGACACTTCTTTCCCTTTTCCTGGTTTTCCATTATTCTCTTCACCATATCATCTGATGAAGACGACTTAGGTTCTTACAGGCCAGCTAT